AAACCAGCACCTCTCTCTGATCAAAACCACCCAAAAACTTCAAAAACAACCTCTTGAGACCTCTGTACCTCAAGGATGGTGTATCACTAGGTGCCTTAGTGCAAAAATATGAACAAAACACACTTTTGGTCACCAAAACACACACAAATATAGAGAGAGAGAGAGAGAGAGAGATATAGAGAGATAGAGACATGAACTCTATATCTCAGATCCTTCAACCTCTGGAAAGGGAGGGGAGGCCCTCTTTTTATAGAAATACCACTTTGCAAAGCTTCTTGGAGAAGCTAATCAAGGGGCAAATCCCTCCATACACGTGTATAGAGGGGGGCAATTATGGATGCCAGCTGTTCCAACTGGCATAAAAATATCTGTAAAAGCAGATGAACAGGGTTCGGCCAGCAAAAATGGCCAATTAACCAACAAATGTGGCCGGCCGACTAAAAATAGTGCCGACCCACCAAATATTTGGCCGGTGGAAATAAAAGGGGGCCGATGGCTTCAAGCCTTGGCCGGTGAGGTATGGGGATGGCCAACAAGCCATTCTCTGCCCTCAGAAGCAAAAACACAAGTGCTTGGTCCACGACCAAGCACAAAACAGGCAAGCTAAGATATCCTGAGGCATGGGTGCGGCTGAGACCTTCGGGAACTCAAAACGAACACGGACATAGATGATCATCGAGTGTTCAAACGATGACGTCCAAATCTTGAGGACGGTCAAAGATGGAGTGTCTACATGACATTAATGATAGAACCCAACCCCCCCCAAAAAAAAAATCACAATTGAAATTCTAATAAAAATAATTAAAGTTTACTTATTCTTTTTTTTTTCTTCTTTTTTTTTCTATATTTAAATTTATTAACTATTTAATTTTAAAATTAATTATTAATTATTTATTTGAAAACGTGCATAGCACAGTTATTCCGCTAATAGATATATACTAGTAAGTGCGGGGGATTTTATTTATACCCAAAACATGTCTTAGTACGTCTAATTTAAATTCATAAATTTTAATTCTAAATATATCATAATATAAATTTACTAATAAAGATAACACATATTAAACTCCAAAATCATTTTTTTTCCTCATGGTACACCTTAATCAGTTATTTCTATTCAAATCTCTGTATCTTCTTTCCCAAGAAATCAAAGTTATTTCTTCTTTTTCTTCTTAATCCTGCCTCCAAAATTCTAATACACCCTACTAAAACTCACTATCATCATCAATATCATTATTTTTTATTATTTTGAAACCCTAAACCCTAGAAGAAAGTTTAAACAAAATCAAATAATGGATAAGAGTAGTAATCAAAATAGTTTTTTGAAGTAATCCATCAAAAAGGAGGTAAGTATTTATATAAATGGGTTTCACAATTTTTGTAAAGCACGATCAATTATTTAAAACTCATCATCATCATCAACATCAATCAGCTTATTTGGTTTTGGTTTCTAGAAAGCACTTTTCAAAAAAATTTACTTTTTTATTTTCCGTATTTTTTGGTTTTCAATGAATTTTTTTTAATATTTTAAGCAAATTTTTAAATTTTTAGACACACCTAACATAAATATACTTAAAAAGTATAATATTTGTAAAAAAAAATCTTTAAAAAATTCACTAAATACCAAAAATACCAAAAAAAAATAAAAATTCAATATATTTTTCATATTTTGTGTATTTATTAATTTTTTAAAATATTTTTTCACAAATATTTTACTATTTAGATATATTTAAGTAATGTGCATATAAAAATATAAAAAAAAATTGCTGAAAATTTTAAAAATATTCACTAAAAATAAAAATAAAAACTCAAAAAATAAAAAATAAAAAACTCAATTTCCAAAAAATTGAATTCAGAAAATTAAAACCAAACACATTGATTGTTTTTTATTATTTTGAAACCCTAAACCCTAGAAGAAAGTTTGAACAAAATCAAATAGTGAATACGAGTAATAATCAAAATAGTTTTTTGAAGCAACCCATCAAAAATGAGATAAGTATTCATATAAAAGGGTTTCACAATTTTTGTAGAGTACCATCAATTATTTTCTATATCATTTTTTTACAAAAATTAAAGGGCCTAGTAATTAAATTAACAATAATATATTATTAGAGTTGTTCTTATTTTGTCATTTAAATAGTGTATTATTTGAGAACTACTCCTTCTTGTTAGTGCCTGATACTTATGTGCTTATAAGTTTGGTTTTTACTTTTCCACGAACATTCTTGTGGATAATTTATAATATAAAATTTTTCTTTTTTTGTATTGAAAATTTTTACAATGCTTATGCAAAAGTTTGGTTTTTTCTGTATTTATAATGCTTATGTACTTATAAATTTTTTTTCCTGTATTTGAGAATTATTTTGTGTATTTAAAAGATTTGAAATAATTTAATTTTTTTAATTTGTTTATTATTTATTATTTGGATTTACTTTGAGAGTAATTTAGAAAAAATAATATGGTATAATGAGAGTAAAATAAAATTTTAAATAATTAAATAGGATATACTTAAAAATTAAGAGTATTTAATGATTTTTTTTTAGTGTAAATACAATCCCCCAGTAAGTACATATGAGAATGCTAAAAAGACTTGCGAAGATGAGACCACCGTTTATCTGGGCTCGAAAACGTGATGGCCCTGCTGGTCCGGCCCATTTCATTTTTAATCCCCGTAACCCAGCATGAAATGGGCTGATGGCTTTATGCTCAATGACGTTAAAATAAGGGGTTAATTACACGCGAATCTTATTAAATGAATTTAAAGATCTTTAGGTCCTATGCATCTTTTATTATTTTATTATTTTTATTTTTTAAATCAAAATTGGAGGATGTTAGTTTTTATTAGTGAAATTAAATTACAACTAAATGGGCCACTGCTATTCCATCCGCTTAAATTCCTGACATTTCTTTCACCATATTCTAAGGTATAGCTACAAGACCATTAGACCAAACCCAAGGTCTCCTATGCATCTTTTAAATGTCCTTAAAAATCATAAAATACTTATTACATCCTCATTACTTATTTTGTGAAATCAAAAAACAACCACTTCACTTTTTATATCCCTCTCTCTCTCTCTCTTCACTGTTTTTCTAGTAGTCTTAGACTACCACTAACCACAGTCACCTTTACCGTTACTTGCTACTGCCATCGCCACCATTCACTGGGCACCGCCACTGTTTACCAACCATCTCCATTATCATTGATCTACATACCACCGTCACCAATCTACTATCATCATTAACCAATCACCTCCACCGTCATTGATCTAGAGTTCACCATCTCCAAACTACACTTCATTATTGTCAATCCACCGCTACCATTTACTAATTACCTCCATCGTCGTTGATCTTAACTGCCATAGTTCAAGTCTAGCCATTTACAAAGCCATCTACTATCTTAGACACCAATTTGGGGCCATAACCATGTGTGTCGTCGAGATGCAACCATTACATTGTCGTTGGAGCTCATATTAGTGAAATTAGGTCTCTTCTCTCTTTCTGTCTCTCCACAGTAATGGATCTCCATTAATCTGTTGGTAAAGATCTAGTTAAACTAGATCTGTTGTCTGTAAAATCTAAATATATCTATTAGTGAAAAAAATTATAGTGATAAATTTATTAGTCTCATATTTTTTTAATTTTCTTTGTTTGCAAGTTTGTGAGTGCGTTTCTGTGAATATAAGAGAAAGAGAGAGTTACTAATTAAGTGGTTTTGTAAATACTAATAAATATTATCAGTGATAAATTTATCACTATTAGATTTTCATTTTTCGCTCCTACTTTCTCTTGCCATTGCCAGATCTGAGAAGGTGGTGGGAAGTAGTGATATGGTAAATGAATGTTTTTCTTAAAAAAAATGGTTGAAAAATTATTTAAAAACGTTGTCGAAAAAAATATCATCGAAGGTGGTCGCTGATAATTGAAAATAGCTGTCAGAGGTGATTGTTGGCGGCGAAACATGACAACGAAACACTACTGCTGTGTTTGGTTCGGGGATTTGGGGAGGGATTTGGAAAAGGAAAGAGAAAAGGTGTGTGAAATTAGGTGAAATATAGGTATATTATATTCACATTTCACCTAACTTTTCCCTTTCCCAATCCCTTCCCAAATTCTCCAACCAAACACAGCGTACAAGAAATTACACTTTTGGCGACCAAATTTTTAGTCGCCAAAGGTTGTTTTTTAGTCGGCAAAAGTCAATGGCGACTAAAGTTATTCGTCGCCCCATTGGTCGCCAAAACCTAGTTGGCAATAGTCAAAGGCGACTAAATTTACGTTGGTCACCAGTTATCTTATCTTTGGCTACAAAAATGGACTTAGTCGCCAAACAAACGTTTTGACGACCAAATATTTAGTAGTCAAAATTAATTAAATCAAAATGAAATTCTCTTTCAGCGGCTAAAACATTTTAGTCGCTAAAACATTTTAGTCGCTAATACTAATACATTTACTGACTAAAAATTTCAGTCATTAATAATAATACATTTAACGACCAAATAATTTAATCGTTGTTAGTTTTCACAACTAAACACTTTAGTCACCAAAAGATTAGATATTTTCATTTCATAGTATTTTACGACCAAATATTTTAGTCGCCGAAGGATGCCATGTTCTTTCGTGACTAAAATATTTAGTCGGCAAAAGTTTCTTCCCTCATCTTGATTTATTTTGGCCACTAACTATTTGGTCGCCAAAAGTCTTTTGTTTCTTTTTTACTATTAAATATTTAGTCATGAAAAACCTTTTCTTGCATTTTTGGCTACCAAAATATTTAGTTGCCAAAAATTTTATAATTTTTTTTAATTAATTTCTCGACCACCTATATTTATTCCATTATTGGTACAATCTATACCCTATATATAAATAAAGTAATCCATATATTGATAAAATTAGCAACCATTCCACAACATGCACACATTTCACTTTCAACCAACAAAAAATTCATATTTGACATCAAATTAATATTTCCAATACAAATTCCAAACAAACCAAGTATAATCCAATCTCAAAAATAATAATAATAATTAATAAAATAAAATAAAAGTTGGCAAGAAACCAACTAACAAAAACACCAATAACATAAAAAAAGTAGAGGCCATAAAATAAACTAGTGATGAAGCCAGCTGCAGTCCAACCCTTAAAACAATTACTGAAGCAAAGCTGAAAACTACCAACATGAAGCTGGAACATCTCAATAACACAGATCACAAACAGAGGCTCCTTAACTGTAAAAGGACACATACAATGAAAAAAATACAATTTCAATTAATATATATATACTATCTACTGTTATGAACTTCCATAGATTTAACCCCATCAAGGCAAAGAAAAAAATGCAATAGACTATGCTTGAAGTTACCATTGCATCTCAAATCATTGGAATTCCCTTGTCTCTATCTCGTCCACCTGATTCATGGAGAGAAAAGCAAAGTGAAGCGAAATGTGAAAGAAATTTAACTGACATTTCATTCACATTTCCCATTTGTTTTCTTTTCGTTCCACAAATCCCCTATCCAAATCCAAAATCCAAACACACCTATGGAAAGTTTGGGTTTTCTACTAGAATAGTAAGGGATGGTAGAGGAAGTCTTGTAGCTACTAGAAAGACTGAAAGATTGCCAATTGATCATACATGTTAGTGTTGTCATGTCGTGTTGTCATACCCGTCAATGTTTTCTTAATTTAGTTTTCAGATAAATTATTCAAGTTATTTCACTCACATTGCCCACTGAATAAATGATTCAATGCATGTTTTCACCTAAATCTAACAGATATAATTAAGAAATGAGTGGAGTAGACATTAAATTAATTAGTTGTCAGGAAAGTAAAAGCGAGAACAAACATCTTGCAGGCATTAAAGGAACCACTTATGACGGTAAATCCAGAAGCTTATCTAGAAAACTAGGCATCATGTGAACTAGTAATGAAATCAAACAGGAAGCAATTTATGATAACTACAGAAGTAAAGTGTAGGCTGATTAGATTTTCTATTCACATGACAATATAAATTTCTTTTCAATTTCAGTCAAGTGGCTTTCATATTAAGTAACTAAGTTAGAACTCAAAACATTACCTTGAAATTCATCCTCTCAATTTCAGTTGGTTGTGCCTCAGCTACACCCTTTTTCCATTTTGTCCCACTATCTCTGTCTCATTGTTCTTCGCTTTCTTTGCAAAACATTTGCACCCTGTCAATAATTGCACATCTGTCAATAACTGTCATGATTCCACTGTCAATAACTGCAGATCGTCCAGTCACAATTGTGAACAAATGGTCTAGTCTGGTGGCTAATTTCAATAGCACAAAGTTTTGTACATGCACTCATGGAATGCTTTCTAACTGAGAAAATTCTTAACAAACATCAGTCAATAAACTTATAAAAGATGGAATCATCATATAACAAATAGATCAGACCAAAGATGAAGCATGACAAGAACTAGTACATTAACAAATAAACTTCATGTTTGAACTGCAAAGAGATACTTCATAATGATATAACAAACAGTACAGGATATTTTCTGAACAATGAGATCACATATAACGATACAACAAACAGTAATAGACTCAATATCACTGAAAATAATCCTAGAACATATTAGCAAAGGGATGAGAAAGTGATATTTAAAAAAATATTTATTGTGACAACAAAGGTTGTAAATGTTCACATTTTATCTAATCGCAACCGATATATTGATCAAATATGTATAAACTAGTTTATTGACAACCACCCTTGAGAGTCGACCAATACAGGATAATTCAGGGAAAGAAAGCTTCACCATCCGACACCAAGGGGGCTAACCGTGGGTCGATATTACTTCAACCATTAGATTTAACACTTCTTTCTGGGCAAGCCATTCGTTGTCAAATAACTAAAGAGCCAAAACAGAATTTCTTACTAGACTGATGATCTGGTTGGATAGTGGTTTCTATCCTCCAAGACTCGAAACAGTTGGCACATGATCATTTCATGGTCTGAGCATCAACAGTTTGATTTTAGCACTCCATCAAGGCAGTTTCAGTTTCTGATAATGGTGCTGCAACAGAGTGAAACAAAGGTCCATGCATCATATATGTAGCATAAGTAGACAAAAGTATTTAGAGACAGAAGCAAGGCATACAAAGATCAGAAACACAACACATTATGGATGCTAAGAAAATCAGATAAATGGTTGCCATGCGAACATACCGAGCAAATCTTTACATGGATCTCCCAGAAATGAGGAGTCCATTAGCAAAGGAGGTGAGAATACTTGGTCTTTAGCTTCCTCTCCGTCACAATATGACTTCTGTGAATCGGAACTGTCAAATTTGACCCAACAATTGAAAGAAAACCATTTACCTATAACCAATTATTTAGGATGCAACTAAAAACTGTAAGAATAACTATGAGACAAATAAATATATATTATAAAAAATGCATAAAGCAGTTACTTCAAACCAAGTGAATCAGTTACCTATTAGCAAAGTCAAGTAATTGGGCAGAGCCAGTAAAATTTGATGAAATTTCCTCTACATTTTAATTTTATGACTAACAGACTTCTCTGAAAGGCTATACAATACACTCTGTTGTAAATGGATTGGGAATAGAATAATTGCACTGAAAAACCTAATTTATTCTCTAAGAAGTAACAATTGTGTTCTAATGATAAGTAGATAGCTTGAATTAAGAGGATAGATTGGGTGAGTAATTTTGTCATTTCATTTCTCAAAATTGAGAGTACGTGGTAGAGATAGAAATGGGGATATTTTCGTCATTTTGCGATAAAAGAGTTCATTTTGCAGCGATACAAATTCCAATGTGTCATCAAAGGCCCATGTCTATCTAATGGCCTCATGACAAAAAATTAACTAAACAGAGCAAAGCAATTTCTAACCACTTGAGCTCAAGAAACAAATCCTCATTCAGTAATCTGCTCTGTGTAGATAGAGGAGATGAGCTATGGACAAATCAACAACAGAGTTCTCCTTTATTACGAACTGAACCCACATTAAACACAAACCTGCTCTTACTCTCACCATAGCCAAATTCATATAACAATTATGTATATATATATATATAGAGAGAGAGAGAGAGAGAAGCAGGGATAGAAAGGAAATGGGGTTAATGTTGGTTGTTCATGGTGGAGGAGGAATTTGGATTAAACTCAATGGCGGTAGATGGGTCAATTTGGGACTGGGTTTGTATGAAGGTATGCGAGAGACAGAGAGCGAGATAGATACCTGGGGTAATGCTCCAATGGTGGATTTACGTTGGTGCGATGGCGGTGATGCTCCTGTACCCGACGGCTATGGAGACAAAGCGAGAGAGATAGCGTGGAAGGAGGAGGGCAGAGGCATGAGAGATAGAGGTAGAGAGACAGAGACAGAGACAGAGTCACTATGAGAGAGACCGACAGGCGTGAGAGGGAAGTAGAGGTAAAGATTGGAAAATGCCTCGTAGCTCGACTTTTAGAGGCTCACAAATAGTGAATAATAAAAAATAAAAATTAATTGAAAAAGCTACTTCACAGCTTATTTAACAAACACTACTCAGCAACTTAAACCTATAATCCAACAGTTATACCAAACAGATTAACAACTTCTGATTAAAATCATAATCTATAATCTATTAAGGTATAATTTATAATCTGTTTTAACAGCTACACCAAATAGGACCATTAATTGACGACTAAAGTATTTAGTTGGGAAAAAAATGCACATCTATTTCTTATTAGCAACTAAAATAGGTAGTCGGGAAAAAATAGGTTGCTAGGGTTTCAGAATCATCACCGTTTTAATACAATCTTTACCCGGTTCCAATTGGTAGCTTGAATAACACGGCTAAAAAAAAAACTCGACACCAAAACGACGTCGTTTTGGTGTCGAGCCAGATTTCGAGCCGTGTTATTCAAGCTACCAATTGGAACCGGGTAAAGATTGTATTAAAACGGTGATGATTCTGAAACCCTAGCAACCTATTTTTTCCCGACTACCTATTTTAGTTGCTAATAAGAAATAGATGTGCATTTTTTTCCCAACTAAATACTTTAGTCGTCAATTAATGGTCCTATTTGGTGTAGCTGTTAAAACAGATTATAAATTATACCTTAATAGATTATAGATTATGATTTTAATCAGAAGTTGTTAATCTGTTTGGTATAACTGTTGGATTATAGGTTTAAGTTGCTGAGTAGTGTTTGTTAAATAAGCTGTGAAGTAGCTTTTTCAATTAATTTTTATTTTTTATTATTCACTATTTGTCTACATTTCTCATAAAAAATAATAATAATATTTTATAGTCCATTTGGGTCCTTTTTTATTTTTAAAAAAATAAAAAATAAAAAAATCTAAGAGTATAATCGTAAATTAACATGTCTACAGCAGAAGCTGATAATCAGAAGCACGGGGTGAGCAGCTTCTCAGAATTAGTTTTTTTGACTTAAAATAAGTTGGTAGAATCAGAAACTGTTTGAAATAAGTTTAACCAAACAGTCCAAAATAACTTTTTAAAAGCCAGAAGCCATAAGTTGGCTCAAAAAAGCCCCACCAAACACCCCCAACGTAGAATCCCTCCAAAATTCGAAATTCTCCTTCCAAAACTTGTAATTATAAATTTTTCTTGGTCACCAAAAGATAAAAAGTATTTTTTTTTTTATTTGGTGACTAAATAATTTTAGTAGCAAAAACTAACTCTATAGTGACTAAAATATGTTTTAGTCGCTCAAATAAATTTTTGGAGACTAAACTTTTGGTCGCTAAAGATAAAAAATAATTTTTTATTTTTCATTTGGCGACTGAATAATTTTAGTAGCCAAAACTAACTCTATAGCGACTAAATTATGTTTTAGTCACTGAAAATAAATTTTTAGCGACCAAACTTTTAGTCGCCAAAGATAAAAAGTAATTTTTTGTTTTCTATTTAGCGACTAAATAATTTTAGTAGCCAAAACTAACTCTATAGCGACTAAATTATGTTTTAGTCACTGAAAATAAATTTTTAGCGACCAAACTTTTAGTCGCCAAAGATAAAAAGTAATTTTTTGTTTTCTATTTAGCGACTAAATAATTTTAGTAGCCAAAACTAACTCTATAGCGACTAAATTATGTTTTAGTCACTGAAAATAAATTTTTAGCGACCAAACTTTTAGTCGCCAAAGATAAAAAGTAATTTTTTGTTTTCTATTTAGCGACTAAATAATTTTAGTAGCCAAAACTAACTCTATAGCGACTAAATTATGTTTTAGTCACTGAAAATAAATTTTTAGCGACCAAACTTTTAGTCGCCAAAGATAAAAAGTAATTTTTTGTTTTCTATTTAGCGACTAAATAATTTTAGTAGCCAAAACTAACTCTATAGCGACTAAATTATGTTTTAGTCACTGAAAATAAATTTTTAGCGACCAAACTTTTAGTCGCCAAAGATAAAAAGTAATTTTTTGTTTTCTATTTAGCGACTAAATAATTTTAGTAGCCAAAACTAACTCTATAGCGACTAAATTATGTTTTAGTCACTGAAAATAAATTTTTAGCGACCAAACTTTTAGTCGCCAAAGATAAAAAGTAATTTTTTGTTTTCTATTTAGCGACTAAATAATTTTAGTAGCCAAAACTAACTCTATAGCGACTAAATTATGTTTTAGTCACTGAAAATAAATTTTTAGCGACCAAACTTTTAGTCGCCAAAGATAAAAAGTAATTTTTTGTTTTCTATTTAGCGACTAAATAATTTTAGTAGCCAAAACTAACTCTATAGCAACTAAAAAAAAAATTTGTTGCCAATTGTGGCATATTTAGTGACTAAAAATTATTTTAGCGCCAATTGTGACATTTTTAGCGACTAAAGTTTTTTTAGTTGCCAATAATCAATATATTCCGATTAAAAAAAAATTAGTAACTAAATCTTATACTTTTGCTGACTAATATAATTTTTGATCGTCAATTTCATAATTTTTGACAATTAAAATTTTTTTGTCGCCAAAAATAATTTCCTGTAGTGAGAGGTCGTCACTAGAAACTGGAGAGGGTGGTCTGAGGTCACTAGGAGAAGGAAGAAGGGGGCCCTGGCAATGTTGATAATGGAAATGAAGAAAGTGAAGAGAGTATTTTGGAAATATTAATAGATACAAAAAAATACGTGACTTTGATCAACATGATCAGCCCTAAAATAGCGTCCAGATCCTCTAGAGTGGGATTTCCTGGAGTGATCCCTGAAGTGAGTGATCCAATGGCTCAAAATAAAACTAACCAAAACGACGTCGTTTTGGTTAGTAATTTCAA